AGGAGAGTATCATAGTGTCATTACTCATATTAAAATTATTGAACTATAAATTTTAGAGTAATAACACTATGAGATCCTCCCACACCTATGTGAGTAGGACCTCAAAGGATCACTATTAAATTTTGACGCAATCTTTAGAAAAGTTATGTCATGGGTGTGGGACTTGGGTGAATGGGTTTATTGATAACTTTTTTAGAGATCTGTATCAAAATTTAATGGTGATCTTTTGGGATCCTAGTCACATGAGTGTAGGAGGTTCTCATAATATCATTACTCTAAATTTTATGTCCTTACTTGGTGTCATAAGAGTCATACTTGACAAATGTTTGTTTAAACTTTCAATAAATACAATAACAAATGCTTACTCTATTGTCTTGACACATCATATAATAGATTTAGTGGGAGCATGTCATCGACAACAACAAAAAATGTACTAAACACAAGAACTAAATTAGGAAACAATAAGAGTATAACCCAATGTATGGGATTATCGTTGAAAGAAAAAAAAAACCTTTAGTATAGGATTGCAGTTAATTAAAACACAAAAACCCAAAAAATTAAAATTGTAGTCCATCCAAATTGTTGTGTTTTATACACTAATGAAGTAAAAAAACTAGGGTTTCTATAAGTTGCAACCTTAAACAATCTAATTAAGGCGCAACTCCAAATTTTATCATAATATGTACTTTTGGTGTAAAAAATTCTTAAGATTATCAGAAAATATATTTTCATATCTAATTATAAAATTTTAAACTCCAAAAATTGTTAAAATCAAGTAGATCTATAACCATATAAAAATCTTGAAAGTGGACGATTTAGATAATGCATTGTAAGATGCACTATTTCTAAGACTTAAAATCCTTTTTTTTTATTATTTTCATTCATCTCAGTGTCGAGATGATCAATTAGAGGGTTCTTCAACATTAAAACAACCTTTCCCGATGGATTTTTGAGGTGCATCTCTAGTTCTACATTTTAAGGTTGCAACCTTATATAAACTTTTTTTATAAAAAAAAAAAGGTGAAATCAATCAAACTTTTGTACACAAAAGGAAAGCAACAAAATTCCTAAACAAATCCAAATATTCAATGCTTACTTTGAATTCCTAGGAGCTTAAAACTATAGTTTTCACTTAATCCCTCACTTACTATTTATAGTAACGCTTTGTGTTTAGAGGATAAAAGGATTTTTCATTGCATTACTCTTTATCTAACTCTAACTATTATTTTAAGAAATAAGATCATTTTGATGAATTATTTTTTTGGAGAATATATTGCACCTTTTTGACCTTTTTTCTTAGTGGAACATAATGGAGGAAATTTTTGACGAAAATTCAAAGATATTACATAAATGAAGAAATAAAGTTAATAGAGAAGAAGTTTTTTTTTTTTTGAAAAAATATAAAATATAGATTGATATATATTCTATTAAAAAAATGGATTTTTTGAATATCTTTTGAAAAACTCAAAGTTCACAGCGGATTTTAGAAAACTGGAGATCTTTGAAAAGATCGTATTTTTGAATAAAGACTTGCTAACTATGGTCACGAGCGTCATCATCCTCTACATAATGGATGGATGGATGGTGATGGAGACAAAGATCCCACTTCTTAGGTCATTGCATGTTTTAGGGAGTTTTGTTTTGTCTGATCATTGTATCTCCGTCAATTGGATGGTGATGATACTCTATGACTACAGTTGTGTTTTATAGCTGTTATACTATTTTCTCCAGAAAAAGTTCATATAGAGCCGAGGCTCTAAACAATCAAATTAAAGCCCCATCTCCAAAATTTTACTGGATGAGATTGTTTTGATAGCCAAATATCCTTAAATTGATCATCTCGATATCAAGATGCATTGATGCATGGATATGAGAAAAAAAATGGATTTCAAATTTTGGAAATAGTGCATCTTGTAATGTATTTTTGGATAGCTAATTTTCGTTTTTATAGATTTGCTCAATCTACACTATTTTTTATGCTTAACATTTTATAGTTAAATATTAAAATTATAGTTGAAGGCTATCACAAATATTTTCATTATTGAAACTACATTTGTCTATACTATTTAAAGGTACGCTTACTTTGATTGTTTAGGGCCTCGGCTCTATACAAACTGCACCCATTTTCTCCGCATCTTAGTTTTGGATGAGTTTTGTTAGTACAGCAGCTTTATGAAGTTTAGTAGAGTCGCACTCGCCTAAAAAATCGGATTCAACATGAGACAACTTTGTAATGGCACCCATATATGAGGGAATTTGGAGCTCATAGATGGTGTTGATTAAGACTTGAGGTAGATAACTTTGAAAAATATTGCAAGTTTGGACTATTATTCGGGTTTATTGCAACTTTTACAAAATAAAGCAATAAGATAAAGAGAAAGTAGATCGGTAGGTTGAGTATGTGCAGCTTAGACTTAATACAATACCTGTTAGGAGGGTAAATTGGTCAAGTAGAAAGCTCTGAAATGATGAGGGGAAGATCTAAAAGGACATGGACGAAAGTAATAAGAAAGAGAGATATAGTGACTTATGGCAATAATGTATGACCCTTGATAGAGCAGAATGGTAGAACAAAATTTGTGTAGCCGATCCTAAATAGTTAGGATAAGACTTGGATGATGATGATGACACTATTTTGGGGTTTCAAGAACTTTTTTTTTTTTCTTATCTAGATTGCCAAGGTGGAGATGCTAGTCTTTATGACGCCAAAACATTCAACTTCATCAGAACTGCTTTTGGGATCTAAAAAAGAAGTTTTTTCATATCTATGATAGTCAGGGTAGAGATAATCAATTTGCAAATTTTCTAAAATGAAAACATGTTTTACAAACCAATCAAATTAAGGTGCATCTCCAAATTTTACCATAACAAGTAACTGTGGCGTAAAAAATTCTTAGGATGACTTGAAAATATGTTTTTGTCTCTAATTATAAAATTTTATACTCAAAAAATGGTTCAAATCAAGTAGATATATAAACATATGACAATCTTAATGAAATGTCCGGTCTAGATAATATGTAGCAAGATTTACTATTTTTAGACTCAAAATCTTTTATTTATTGTTATTATAGTCATAGATACTGACGTCGATATAATTAATTAATGGTTTTTTCAAAATTAAAACGATATTTTCCGATGGACTTTTTAGATGCACTTTAATTCTACATTATAAGATTGTAACCTTATATAAACTTTTTCTTTACAAAATACTTGGGTGTTTTCTATTTTCTCTGACCTTTATGCCATTGCTCACGTGGGGAACTTTAAACTTTGAAAGTGAAGCTTGGAGGCTGGCTTTGAAAGGTCAAGATTGAGATTAAAGATAAGCTTAGCACATCAGATTTGGCTTAAGACAAAATTTAAGCCTTAA